CCTTGGTTGCTATTGGCATCACTGGGAGGAATTGACCCGCAGGGTAATTAGCTGTGAGGACCAGCTGCAGCTACAGCCAAAGAGCTGCTGTGTTGGAGACACCCCTGTGGAGCAGGATTTACTTCAGTGGAGCTTTGGTGTTCACCAAGTGCTCCCTTTGAGTGTCACTCGTGGATGTGGTAGGGTTGTAATCCAGCGTGGTTGAGTCTGATCACCAGGTGCACTGTCTCTGGGGCCTCCTGGGAGGTGCAAAGTCAGCCTGTGCCAGTGCCTTGCCCAGGGCCACCCAGCATAAGCTACACAGCAAATCGTAGTTGGCTGCTACTTGTGCTGGGCTTGGCATTGTCCAGGAGGCCAAGCTATGAGCCAATGCAGGCTGCTGCTAGTGCCAGGCCTGGGGCCACTTATCAAGCCCTATGGGGCACGCTGCTGCTTGTTTGAGAGATTTTAGGAAAGTCCTAAGCATGAGGCTCAGGAGACCACTTGCATAAAAACGCCACTGGAAATGGCATGGATGAGCTTGCAGGTGGGGAGGGGCAGGGCCTCCAGGAATCACAGGGCAGGGCCAAAGGTGTGAGTCAGGTGCTGGGGATTCAAATATGGCGCCTGCCTGCCAGCTGAGCCATGCCTGGCCGGGCTCCATTTTATTGTTTTAAAAGACCTTCGTTATCCAAGGCACCATCATATTATCTTATCGTTTTTCTCATTCTAATATAGTGCATTACACCTAGGTTTTTAATCTACCTTAAACTCGTTTCCTTCTCAAAACCCTTGCATTTCTCCTATCTGGAACTCTCTGTCCCCTGATCTTCCTATGGCTGACACCTGCAGGGCTCAGCTCAAATATTGCTTCTTCCAAGAGGGCTTCCCTGACCACTCTAACTAAATTAACTACCCACTCTCCATTAAGATGTGCCCCATTTCATTACTTTATTTTATTCAGAGATCACCTCTATCTAAAATTATCTAATGTATTTGTCTATTGTCTATCTCTTGTTAGGTTGCAGACTCCATGAGAGTAGGGACTTTGTCTTATTCCCAGGATCTGGAATGCTTTTAGCTTATGCTAGTGAATGTGATATGCTGTAGGGATGACTTAATTTTTTTCCAAGAGGATAGCTGATTGTTTTTAACACCAGGTCTCCCTTTTCTAAAGGAGAAATATTTCCGTCATCCTGTTTTTCTACTCCTACTTTACATTTAGTCGAGAATGGTCATGATTATTCAGTCCAGTCGTTCTCCACCCTGGTGGTATAACAGAATTACACTTGGAGGTTTTTTTTTTAAATCCTCACTCGAGGATATGTCAGAGAGAGGAAGGGAGACAGAGAAACAATGGTGTGGGAGAGAAACATTGATCCCATCCACACCCTGAATGGGGATCAAACCCGCAACCTAGGTATGTGTCCTGACCGGGAATCCAACCCACAACATTTTGGTGCACAGGATGATACTCCCACCAACTGAGCCACACTGGCCAGGCTCTCAAGTGATGCTAATGGTGCTGGACCATTGGTCAAACTTTG